AAAAAAAAAAAAAAAAATTAATCCCTAAAATTTTTATAAGACTGAGCAGTTTTATCTTTGAAAGACCATTAGATAGATAAGATGGAGACACAATTATGTGAAGAAAAAGTCTATCTTACCCTTTAATCTGAAAATGAGGTTACATTCATGCTTTGCATAAGCCTGGATGTATGACACAAAAGCTTTCATGCCCTTTTCAAACACAGCTCTGTCGGCCAGGGCCATGGACTTGAGCTTTGGCAGAAGGTCAGCTGTATTTTTCTGAAGCTTCATCTCCTTCAGGGGGCACTGCAGAGAGACCACATTCTCACCTCTGGCTAGCGCCACCTCATCCCAATGCTCTCCAGTCTTGAAAAGCACAGCAGTTTGTTTTATCTTAGAAGCCCAAATCCAACCCAACTTTTACTTGATCCAAAAGTATTTTAATTTTTTTTTTTTTTTTTGAGACAGAGTCTCAAGCTATTCCCCTGCTGTGGCATCAAAGCTCACAGCAACCTCCAACTCCTGGGCTCAAGCAAGTCTCCTGCCTCCGCCTCCCAAGTAGCTGGGACCACAGGTGCCCGCCACAATGCCCAGCTATTTTTTGGTTGCAGCTATCATTGTCGTTTGGTGGGCCCAGGCTGGATTTGAACCCACCACCTTAGGTATATGTGGCTGGTGCCTTAGCCACTTGAGCCACGGGCGCTGATCCAGTAGTTTAAATTTTTAAAAGAAAATTTAAAAAAAATATATTTCACATGATAATCCTGACTTGGTAAGAAAGTATGGCAACACTGGGTCCTTGTTCTCAAGCAGCACCCTTGCTTGGGGCCCAGCAGTGGCTGTGACACCACAGGAAGCTTAGTCACTTGGCAACTGAGTAGCCCCTACCACCTAAAAGCCTGCCCCTAATCTAAGTTTCTGACCACATGCCAAAGAACTCTACAGCTCCCATCACTGGGTGTTCTATATAAAAAAGAACAACAGCTTACTTTTTGATTAATTGCAAGGAAATTGATGTATGACTCTTCCATGGGCAGGAGGAACACCAGAGCACTGCCACCGTGGCCAATGCGGGCTGTGCGGCCACAGCGATGCACGAAGGCACTGTGAGGGCACAGGATGAGAACAGGCACCCAGGTGAAGATGGCTGAGCAGAGCTCAGGCTTCAGCCACGCAGCTCAATGCTATGAGGAGCCACCAGACTCCACTCAGCCACCTACTAGTGAGAGAAACAGAATAGCTGGCAATGAGACTTTGCAAACAGATAAGATTCCTAAGGATAGAAAATGTGAGCAATAAAGTATATAAAATAAAATAAAAATAATCTATAATCTCAGAAGTAACCATTATTACTTAGGGGTTTATACTTATAGGAATTTTCCTGTGCTTGAAAGCACATATTAGGAATATATATACTTACTTTGGAGCAAATAATGACAATTTTCATATATGGTTTTAGGTATTGTTTTCATTTGAACATTATATCACATGCATTTCTGTCAGAGATTAGGGTTATTTGAAAATACCTTTAATTGCTGTACTATTATATCACTTTTACCCAGGGTGGTGAATGGGTAGGTTATTCACTCATTAGCCTACGTTTTTGTTTTATTTTGTTTCCTTGGGACAGTTTTACTTTGTCGCCCTCGATAGAGTGTCATGGCATCATAGCTCGCAGCAACCTCAAACTCTTGGGCTCAAGTGATTCTTTTGCCTCAGCCTCCCGAGTAGCTGGGGCTATAGGCACCTGCCACAACGCCCAGCTGTTTTTAGAGACGGGGTGCCACAACACCCAGCTATTTTTAGAGACGGGGTCTCGGTCTGGCTCAGGCTGGTTTCGAACCTCTGAGCTCAGCCTCCCAGAGTCTAGGATTATAGGCATGAACCATCATGCCCTGCCCTCATTAGCCTATTTTTGCTATTCTTTTTTTTAAAAGAGGTCTCACTCTGTCACCCAGGCTGGAGTGCACTGGTGTGCTCACAGCTCAATGCAGCCATGCCTGGCTTTTTAATTGTTTTAGAAACGGGTCTCAACCATGTTGCCCAGGCTGGTCTTGGACTCCTGACCTCAAGCAGTCCTTTCACCTCAGCCTCCCTAGTAGCTAAATTAATGTTCTAGATGAATACCTCTGTATGTTTATCTTCCTACTCAGAATTCTCACTTCATTAAGCTATATTCCTATACACAGAGAGGGTAGCAGCAGTCTACCACACAGTACCTTGCATTGCTGGGAGGGTCGTACTGCAAAACCCAGTTTACTTCAGGAATATCTATTCCCCGGGCCATCACATCAGTGCACACTAAAATCCCACTAGAAAATGAAAACAACATTCTGAGTAAAGGAGATCATCATTTTCATCACCATCAGTATTTGTTGTTGCTGAAACAGGTTTTTCTCTGTTGCTGGGGCTAGTACAGTGGTGACATCACAGCTCACTGCAGCCTCAAACTGTTGGGCTCAAGCAATCTTCCTGCCTCAGCCTCCCTGTAGCTTGGACTACAGGCGTGCTGACCACCATGCCTGGCTATTTTTTTAATACTTAATGGAGATGGGGTCTTGCTGTATTGCCCAGGAAGGACTCAAACTCAAGTGAGTCTCCCATCTCAGTCTCTCAAGGTGCTGGAGTTATAGGTGTGAGCCACTGTACCCAGCCAAGAGTACTTTTGACACAGCCAGGATGCTCAATCATTAAGAAAAACAGAAAATTATTTATACAAACAAACAAGTGATGACCACTCAGACACAAGTTCCCTGCCATGTAGTCACAAGCCTGATAACCCACACACAGTCTGAATCCCCAAGACTAAAACTGCTCCTTTCTGCAGTCATCACAACCCTCCACTGAGCTAGGGCAATCTGGGAGGGAACACAATACCCAAGTCTCCGGTCTTCATGGAGCCTACAATTCAAGAGGGAGGCCCCATAACTACAGCAGTGGCACAGCAAAGCATAAAAGGGGTGAGGGCCAAGTAGGCATTTATACCAAGGAAGTTTGAGAAGCAAGTTTGAGAAGGAAAAGGGTTCCAGACTAGAAAAATAATGCATGCACGGCTGGAGGTCTACTATTTCCAATGATGCCAACACACCTCTGCAATTTGCGGAACTCCATGAAGATCTTATTACGTTTATATTTCATCTTTCCATGAATGCACATAATCTTCACACCCTTCACCAGGGCCTCCAGAGCCTTCCCATAGTACTCCACACAGGCACAGGTGCTGCGAGAAGGGATAGAGGCCTAAACATCACTGGCCATCTTGGTCCTTCTGCAATTAAGGGGAGGGAAGCAGCAAACAACAGATGTAGCAGACCTAACCCTCCTTGGGGGATGAAGAGGGACCAGCTATGTATCATCCACCACTAAGCTCCAGGTCTGAAATTCTCTCAGCCAATGAACGACCGATCTTTTGGTAAAATCCCTTAAACATGAGTTTAACACCAAGGATATATTCTACTGTCTAAAGATATTCTAGCACATGGAATCACCCTAAGACCCTGAGAAAGGAATTAAACTGAAGCAGTTATTCAGAACAAAACAATGAAAGATTAGACACAAATGGTCTTGTAAGATTTTACAATACTCCTTTTCCTTTGGGGAACTACTTCTTCCCCAATTAGCAGCACTTCCAAGGGCTCAGCAAATAACCCAAGTTAGACCAATCAGATCCTTTCTCCTAGATATTTGGGACTTAGCACTGTCACCCAAGAATAAAAGGGGGCCAGAATATGGTCATTCCAAAGAGTATATGCCCTAAAGAGACAACCCAGAAAATCCTGCCAAGAGACTCCCTAAGAGGTGGGCACTCACCTTTCCCACTGAATCTGTAAACACCTTACCCAGGTGCCTTCCACCCTCTCTGCCTTTCCTCCTTTATCTGCCTTTAGTGCACACATGGCAGGGTGTTATTTAGTGGTCACCTGGAAACTATGAGGTGACATATAGGAAGGGGAGGATCAAGACAATAACATAAATTTTGACCCTGAAATTACTAAGACATTAACCCAATGTCAGAAACCATCTACCTTTGGAATTACTTTTATAGGATAAAAATAAACACTTCATGTTTGAGTCACAGAAGTTGGGTTTTCAGTTATTTATAGCCAAAAGCACTCATGAGAGAATCATAGTGATTCTCATCTTAGACAGAATCCCAAAACCAAGGGCCACATTGGCCCACATTCTGGATGTGGCTGAACTCCAGACTCTCACCAAAGACGACAGGATTACCTGAAGAAGACCAGGTGTTTTTCTTGTTTGTGATTGCGAAGAAAATGTACCATCTGATTAAACTTCTCATCTGCCTTGCATACCTACCAAATAAAAAGAGACACTACTGAAATAAAAGCATATATGTTGGCAATAATAATCCCCATGGCTATTTTTAGTTTTAGTATTAAATTTACAGGAGTCTAATTTTTTCCACAAATAGGACAGACTTTAGTCAGAATGGTAATCATCTACCTAGCTCAGTCTACCTAGCTCAGAATAAACACTGACATGTGCTGTTGTCTGTAAAGATTAGTTTCAAGTCACAAAATCATGTAACTCAGAGAAATACAGTCATCTAATGGAATAGTTCCCAAATCCCAATCCCAATATACATGCTGGCTACAATATCATTTCCAGGACAGATTTTTAAAATGCAGATTCTTGGGCACAGCAAACGTAATTATTCAGTAGGTCTAAAATCGACCCAAGAATCTATTAAATATTGTTGAAGAGCTCCCCAGGAGATTTTGATGCCAAGTTCAGAAGTGACTGCTGTAAGGTAAATACAGAGTTCCAGAAAGAAATGTACATAATTATTTGAAAGGCCCCCATAGGCTTGGCGCCTGTGGCTCAAGCGGCTAAGGCACCAGCCACATACACCTAAGGTGGCGGGTTCGAATCCCCAGCCCGGGCCCGCCAAACAACAATGATGGCTGCAACCAAAAAATGGCCGGGCGTTGTGGCGGGCGCCTGTAGTCCCAGCTATTTGGGAGGCTGCGGCAGGAGACTTGCTTGAGCCCAGGAGTTGGAGGTTGCTGTGAGCTGTGATGCCACAGCACTCTACCCAGGGGGATAGCTTGAGGCTCCACCTAAAAAAAAAAAAAAAAGAAAGGCCCCCATAGAGACAGACCTCACTGTTTCTTTTAAAAATGCAATCAAATCCTCCATTCAAATCCCCCAACTGGAGCCATTAAATTCACCTGAATACATTCCCCCTATTTTTACCAACACCACTCAGACACTTCTAAATACAATTGCTGAAATTAACACAGAACAGAATACAAGAGAAGCTACCGTGGGTGTGCTAAGTTAACATGAATTAGTACAGGTTGAATATCCCTTATCCAAAATGGCTGGAACCCAAACTGTTTTAGATTTCAAGGTTTTTCAGGTTTTAGAACATTACATTCTGCTTACGACAGAGTGGACATCCCTGATATGAAAATCTAAACTCTGAAATAGTCCAATGAGCATCTCCTTTGAGCATCATATTGGTTGGTGCTCAAAAAGTTTCAGATTTTAGAGCATTCTGGATTTCCAATTTTAAGGTTAAGGATGCTCAACCTTTACTATGTACTAAGCACTGTCCCAGACACCTTTTACATGAGTCAATTAATCCTCAGACAGATAACCCTGTGAAGCTGTACAGTACTCCAGTCCCCATTTTACAAGGACAAAGTCAAGATATGCACCTAGTAGTCTTGCTCCAGTGCCCAGGCTCTCCATGCTGCACTATATACTGAGTCCTTCCCTCTGCCTGCAAGGAGCCAGCTTCTCACCTTACCCCGCCATGTGCCTCTCAGTCACAAACATCAATGGCAAAACAACTTCCACTGCCAGTGAGCCTGTGTGATTTCAACATCCTCCAGGCAGTTGCACTAGGGACAGCTGCTGATTTGCAAACCTTTTCTACCTTTAATCCCCCCACAAAGGGATATTACCTTGATTTAGCAACCAGCTCCCTTGTTTGTAAATAGCAGCTGTGTTTTGGAGGGTAGGAGCGCCTCTGGGCCTCAAGAAAAGCCCCAGCCCCAGACTGACATGCTCATTAGCACTCATACCCCCTACAGGATCTTCTAGCACCCAAAAGGCACTACAGCCCTGCCTGTGCCCTCTGCTCTCAATGCCTCTCCGCCCATCACTGTGGTAGGAGAGAGTGAAATGGGGGAGGGAGTGGCCTCATTACTAAATAATTAAATTTCCAAAAGGCCGTTTGCTGCTGTTTTGAGGAAACTACAGAAAATAGCAGCTAGGATTTACTGCTACAAATCTAGGAACTTCCAGATGCAGTTCGAACATAAAAAACATTTAGGTTACAGAGCAGAGTATTCCTACCTAAAAAGGTCTTACTATAAGTCTATCATTTGATTTTCTGAGTTCTACGTGCACATCTAGCTATGGCCTCCTCTATGACACAGGCAGTTACAATAGACCCAGGAACCACAGAGTTTAACCATGCCCACATCCAGCTCACCCTAGCCACGTCTAATAAATATACTTGTTTGGCCAGGTGTGATGGATTATACCTATAACCCAGCACTTTAGGAGCCCAAGCGAGAGGACTACTTGAGGTCAGGAGGTTGAGACCAGCCTGGACAATAACAGGACCCCCATCTCTACAAAAAATTAAAAAATAGCCAGGCATGGTGGCAGATACCTGCAGTCCCAACTACTCAGAAAGACTGGGGCAAGAAGACTGCTTGAGCCCAGGAGTTTAAAGTTGTAGTAAGCTATGATTAGGGCGCTGAGCTCTACCCTGGGTGACAGAATGAGACCCTTTCTCCAAAAAAAAAGCAAAATGCTTGGTCACTGGTCATTTCAGGGTGGAACACTCAGAGATGCTAGCCTCAGAGATCGTGCTTAAAATACACTTATGCCCAAGATAACTTACTTACTTATTCACTCATTCAACAAGTAGGACCACCATTTGTCCTGAATCTGTCCTCAAATGCTTTTTCAATGTACCACAAGATCTCATTATATAAATTTACTTTCCCAGTAAACTGTAAGGAATCTCACGAGCACTTGTCATTACGAAACCACAGGACTAAGGGAGCAGCAGCCCAGATGCGCACCATGTAGTAGTTCTCCAGGCGGGAGGGGGTCTTCTGGGTGTTGGTGGCCGCCACACCCTTCTCCTTCACTGAGACCCGGACAGGGTTCCGGAGGCCTGCTCTCACCAGGTTCTCTACTTCCTGTGTCTGAGTAGCAGAGAAGAGGCCCGTTCGCCTCTGCTTTGGCAGAAACTCCAGGATGGTGTTTATGCTGAAAAAAGAAGGCTCACACAGTGCTTCATGACATTAACAGATATTTCAAAAGACTGAAAAAGAGGCTGCTAAAATATTTACAATAGGCCAGGTATCACACCCCCTAGCATTCTGGGAGGCCAAGGCAGAAGGATCGTTTGAGCTTAGGAGTTCAAAGCCAGCCTGAGCAAGAATAGGAGACCCCATCTCCACTAAAGATAAAAAAAAAATTAGCTGGGCATTGTGGTGCCTGTAGCCCCAGCTACTTGGGAGGCTAAGGCAGAAGGACTGCTTGAGTCTACGAGTTTGAGGTTGTAGTGAGCTATGATGATACCACTGTAGTTTAGCCAGGGGGGACAGAATGAAACCCTGTCTCAAAAAGAAAAAAGAAAATTACAGTAGTTGTTGCTAAGAAGTAAGGTTATGGCAATTTTTATTTGTTTTTTATATCTTTATTTAGTAGCTGGGACTACAGGCCCCGTCACAACGCCTGGCTATTTTTAGAGACAGGGTCTCACTCTAGCTCAGGCTGGTCTCGAACTGGTAAGATCAAGTGATCCACCCGCCTCAGCCTCCCAGAGTGCTGGGATTACAGGCATAAATCACTGGGCCCAGCCTATACTTTTTTTTAAGAGATGGGATCTCACTTTGTTGCCCATGCTAGAGTATAGTGGCCCAATTACAGATCACTGCAGCCTTGAACTCCTAGCCTCAAGCTAACACCCAGCCTCAGTCTTCCAAGCAGCTGAGACTGTAGGTGCCCACCACCTTGCCTGGCTACTTTTTTTTAGATTTTTTTAGAGACATGGTCTTGCTATGTTGCCTAGGCTGGTCCTAAACTCCTGGGTTCACATGATCTTCCCATCTTCTCACATGATTTTTCCCATCAGCCTCCAAAAATACTGGGATTAGAGGCATGAGCAACCACACCCAGACAAGACCTTTTTTTGAGATAAAGTCTCACTCTATTGCCCCAGGCTATAGTGCCATGGGGTCATAGCTCACAGCAACCTCAAACTCCTGGGCTCAAGACATACTCTCTGGCCAGATTTTATTTTATTTTTTTTTTTTTTGAGACAGAGCCTCAAGCTGTCCCCCTGGGCAGAGTGCCATGGCATTACAGCTCACAGCAACCTCCAGCTCCTGGGCTCAAGCGAGTCTCCTGCCTCCGCCTCCCAAGTAGCTGGGACCACAGGCGCCCGCCACAACGCCTGGCTATTTTTTGGTTGCAGCCGTCATTGTTGTTTGGCGGGTCCAGGCTGGGGATTCGAACCCGCCACCTTAGGTGTACGTGGCTGGCGCCTTAGCCGGTTGAGCTATAGGCGTCGAACCTCTAGGCCAGATTTTAAATGGATGAATTATGTAGTATGTAAATTATCACCCAGTCTGGCATGGTGGCGCACACCTGTAATCCTAGCACTTTGGGAGGCCGAGGTGAGTGATGCTTGAGCTCACAAATTTGAGACCAGCCTGAGCAAGAGCAAGACCCCTTCTCTACTAAAAATAGAAAAACTAGTCAGGCATTGTGGCAAGCACCTATAGTCCCAACTACTTGGGAAGCTGAAATAGGAGAATCTGTTAAGCCCAAGAGTCTGAAGTTGTTATGAGTTATGATGCTCCTGCACTCTCTAGGGCAATAGAGTAAGAATATTTCAAAAAAAAAAAAAAATTGACTCAATGCCTATAGCTCAAGCGGCTAAGGCGCCAGCCACATAGACCAGAGCTGGCGGGTTCAAATCCAGTCTGAGCCTGCCAAACAGCAATGATAACTACAACCAAAGAATGGCTGGGCGTTGTGGTGGGCACCTGTAGTCCTAGCTACTTGGGAAGCTAAGACAAGCAAATGGCTTGGGCCCAGGAGTTGGAGGTTGCTATGAGCTGTGATGCCATGGTACTGTACCCAGGGCAACAGCTTAAGGCTGTGTCTCCAAAAAAAAAAAAAAGATATCCCAATAAAGCTGTTCATTAAAACACAACAACAACAAAGACAAAACAGAATCATGAAGGAAAATTTATTTTAAGAAGATCAAAGATGGCAGCGCCTGTGGCTCAGTGAGTAGGGGACCGGCCCCATGTGCTGAGGGTGGCAGGTTCAAACCCAGCCCCGGCCAAACAGCAACAAAAAAAAACAAAAAAATAGCCAGGTGCTGGGGCAGGCGCCTGTAGTCCCAGCTACTGGAGAGGCTAAGGCAAGAGAATCACCTAAGCCCAAGAGCTGGAGGTTGCTGTGAGTTGCGATGCCACAGCCTTCTACCAACGGTGACAATGTGAAACTCTAAAAGAAAAAAAAAAAGAAAGATCAGGGCGGCCCCTGTGGCTCAGTGGGTAGGGCGCCGGCCCCATATACTGAGGGTGGCAGGTTCAAACCCAGCCCTGACCAAGCTACAACAGAAAATAGCTGGGTGTTGTGGTGGGCGCCTGTCGTCCCAGATACTTGGGAGGCTGAGGCAAGAGAATCACCTAAGCCCAGGCATTGGAGGTTGCCGTGAGCTCTACCGAGGGCGACACAACACTCTACTGAGGGTGACAAAGTAAGATTCTGTCTTTACCAAAAAAAAAAAAAAAAAAAGATAGAAGAACTGGAATTAAATTTGTGTGGTGGTAGAACTAAAGGATCAAACTACCTAATTATCTGAAACTCCAATGTGGTTAACACAAACACTAATTCAGGAAGTGGTAAAGGAATCCCATTTTGCTCAAGTTTTCTACCAGTATCACCCACACAGCCAAAGCCAGTGAAGTCCAAAATCCGGTTACCTTGCCTCAAATCCCATGTCCAAAAGTCTGTCTGCTTCATCCAACACCAGGACATCCAGGGAACGCACACAGCTAGCCAGATCCAAGCCTTCAGCCTTCCTTCGGAACATGTCCTCTAAGCGGCCTGGTGTGGCCACAATGATGTTCCCACTGTGGAAAGAAAGTTATACCTTACTCTCTGGATCTTAGGAATATCCGTGATGGTTACCAAAATACGTTTTTTGTACCCCTAAAAGTTATCTAAGTGATGAGAAAGATGACCATGAGAGTGGAAGAGTGCTGCAGGGTAGATACAGCAAGGACCATGAGGAAGGAGGCTGGGCTCAGAGGCTTAGATCCAAAGCAGATGGGCAAGCTCTACCCCAGTGCAAACCTGGTCTGCTGCCTGTCTTTGATAAGTGTATCCTTTGCACACAACCATACCCATCCCCTCACATGTTCTCTATTGCTGCCTTCATACTGCAACAGCAGTTGAGTTATTTTGACAGAGACCATATGGTCCACAAGGATTAAAATATTTACCATCTATCTCCTCTTTTACAGAAAAAGCTTGCCAACCTCTGACCTATAGCAAGTAACTCAATCAGTTTAGGGCCCAAGTAATCGTCTGTGAAATGAGAATGCTGACAGAATGAGAAAGAATCTTACATAACAATCACAAACTGGCAGACTGAAGGCCAGCTGTAGCCCCACAGACTGGCTGATCTGCAAGGTATTTTTTTAAAATGTAGGTTACATGCCAACAGATAAAAAACCAGGGGATTACATGTACAAATCTGAAATTCCATTTTCTTTTCAAAAAACTCAAAACCTGGCAATACTGAGCCCACCATCCAGCCAGGTAACTACCAACTGGAGATGACATTGAGGGCATCTGCTGGCCAGTGCCTCACAATCCCTCCAGCCCCCTTCACTCATTCATATCATCCTCCTCACCCCTGGAGGATCTGAAGTTTATGAACTGTTCATTCACTGCCTATGGGAAGGAGCCAACAAAGCAAAATGGGACATTGGCCCTGAGAAAACACCTTTTTTGGGGAGAAGAGCTGCTGAAAGGGGACACTCACAGGTATGCCTAAATTATATGACTCATCTTAAGTTCAGTGCCAGGAACAAGCAAAAAAAAGCAGCAGAAGCAAACTTACCCTTGTTGCTTAAACCTCTCAACATCTTCCCCAGGATTCCTGCCACCAATCCAAAGAATCTGGCTAAAACAAGAAACCGGTCTCTCAGTAAATTAGGCAAAACAACAGCCCATGGCACAGTGATGCCCCATTCAATTCACCTGAACTGTGAGAAGTGCTTCGTGAAATGAGCCAGGACCTCATCTATCTGAATGGCCAGCTCTCGAGTGGGGGTGATGATTATGGCTCCAACCTACTCACATGGAGAGACAGGACACAGTTAGCAGCACAGGAAACTACCAGAGTTGAACACACAGCCTGTACCCGCCACCTCACAGAGGAAAGTTCCCAAAGAAACAGCACTTCCCAGACTTTCATAGCAACCTTGGTCGTAGCATGTTTCAACTACAGTAGAAACTCCATAGCTGACCACCTCCTTAAGCTGACATAATCTTCACAGACTGGACATGCACTACATGTACTCAATGTATAGTAGACCTCGTTCCTTATGTTGACCACCACTGTTGTTGACCCTTGGGTGGTCAACTTAGAGAGGTTCTTCTGTACTATTTATTACTATCACTTATCATTATTCACTTCAGTTATGCTCGATAAAGCCACTGCAGACACTGAGTTGTTAAAATACTAATACTGAATCACTGCTCCTCGGGAAAATACGGCATTAGGTTTCTGCAAGTCTCTGAGCATAACATTTTTGTTGACTGCTTGATACATAACCTCGCTTTCATTTAAAGATGGCATGTTGTACACATACTGATTCATTCAAATTAAACTCATACACAAGAGCTCCATACCTTGTGACTAAACAAACCTTATATAACAAATGTACTCTGTCTACACATCATAACCTTGGACTCAGGAACACTAGATTGTACCTCAGCAACACGTTAGTAAGGCACCATTTTAAACAACAAAATCACCAACAAAAAGGATGAAAATGCAAAAAACAAGACATTAACCAGACTGTGAAAGGGACATCCCATGTACAGTCTGAGTGCTAAAACAAAAAGCAGCTTTGCCCACATCCACAAATAACACGGGCAGTGGCTCACACCTGTAATCCTAGCATTCTGAGAGGCCACGGCATGGGGATTGCTTCAGCTCAGGAGTTCAAGATCAGCCTGAGCAAGAGCAAGACCCTATCTCTACTAATAATATAAAAATTTGCTAGGTGCTATGGCAAGCACCTGTAAGTCCCAGCTACTTGGGAGGCTGAGATAGGAGAATCGCTTGAGCCCAGAATTTGAGGTTGCTGTGAGCTATGATGCAACATCACTCTACTGAGTACGACACAGTAAGATTCTGTCTCAGAAAATGAATGAAAGGGCGGTGCCTGTAGCTCAGTTTGAGCTGGTCCAGGCCTGCTAAACAACAGTGACAACTGCAACCAAAAACAGCCGTGTGTTGTGGTGGGCGCCTATAGTCCCAGCTACTTCGTAGGTGAAGGCACGAGAATCAATTAAACCCAAGAGTTGGAGGGTGCTGTGAGCGTGATGCAACAGCACTCTTCTGAGGGCGACATAGTGAAACTCTTGTCTCAAAAAAAAAAAAAAAAAAAAAATGCATGAATGAATGAATGAACACAAATAACTTTGAAAACACCCCAGCACTGAACTGGGGTTATAAATTTCAAGGAGCAGACACATTTACAAATTTAGAATCCACAAATAATGTTGACTGCCTTTTATTTTAGGATTTTAACCCCCTCTTACCCAACTGTGAACTGTCTGATGACAAAGTGAAAATAAATCACTTTCACAATTGCTCACCTGACTCTTTTTTAACTTTTCTTCCCTTCTCAGAAGAATTTCCAGAATAGGGATGACAAAAGCCAGTGTTTTGCCACTACCTGTGACCTGCAAAGGGAGAGCAAGTTTTGTACTTTTTGTTCTCACAGTTCCTTTGAGGGAAAACAGAACAGGCTGAGGTACTCACCGCTTCTGCGGCGACATCTTTGTTTTTCATGAAAAGAGGGATAGTTGCAGACTATGGAAAGATTGCAAATCACTGGTTAAAAAAATGCTACAAACAATAGTTTGGACCCCAAACCCTAGAAACATACTAAGTAGCTAAGGTCACAGCAGACCCTACCACAAAGGGGACTCTAAATAACCAAGGCAACTTGGAGGAGCTGAATCAAACATGGCAACACAGTGAGGTGGAGATAGCAAAGCTGAGCTGGGAAGCAGGAGTCCTGAATTCTAATCGCGTCTCTCCTACTTTTCCACTATGAACTAGAAGGGGTTGACAACATTGCATTTTTAAGGTCTCTTCCGGCTCTAGCACGGAAGGAAAATTCAAATAAACTCTGTCATTTATGGAGGCGTGGCTCTTTGGTCTCAGGTCTTGGCCTCAAGGTCACTCCCTCCAGGCCTTGCTCCTGATACCCAAAGCCTGAGCTTACCTGCACTGCAGATGTCTTATCTTTCCAACTGCCTCTACATGAGTGGTTCTCAACCTGGGTGATTTCTATCCTTCCCTCTAACCCCCCAGGAACACTGCAATGTCTAGAGACATTGTTGACTGTCAAACCCTGGGGGGGGAGGGTTGTCATCTGGTGGGAAGATTCCAGGGGTATTGCTAAACATCCTACAATGCCCAGCAGCCCCAAATGTCAACAGTGGCAAGGCTGAAGACCATGCTCTGGACCACTGTTGTCCAATAGAAATATAATGTGAACCAAATACATCATTTAAAAAAATTTTTTTTTTTTTTGCAGTTTTTGGCCGGGGCTGGGTTTGAACCTGCCACCTCAGGCACAGGGGGTCAGCACCTTACTCCTCTGAACCACAGGAGGCGCCTCAATTTTAAATTTTTTAATGGCCACAGTAAATAAAGTAAAAAGAAAAAGGTGAAAGCTGGGCACAGTGGCTCACACCTATAATCCTAGCACTCTGAAAGGCCAAGGTGGGTGGACTGCTTGAGTTCATGGGTTCAAGACCAGCCTGAGCCAGAGCAAGACCCCATCTCTACTAAAAAAAAAAAAAAAAAAAACTAAGGAAAGAGGATCGCTTGAGCCCAAGAGTTGGAGGTTGCTGTGAGCTATAATGTCACCATGGCACTCTACCCAGGGTGATTGCTTGAGACTGTGTCTCAAAAAAAAAAGGTGAAAAAAATTTTAATAATTTATCTGATTTAACCTAATACATTCAAAATCAAAATGCAGGTGGGGCAGTGCCTGTGGCTCAAGGAGTAGGGCGATGGCCCCATATACTGGAGGTGGCAGGTTCAAACCTGGCCCTGGCCAAAAATACTGCCAAAAAATATGTATAATAAAATAATAAAAATCTTAAAAAAAAAAAAAAAATCAGGGTGGTACCTGTGGCTCAGTGAGTAGGGCGCCGGCCCCTGGCCAAACTGCAACAAAAAAAATAGCCGGGCATTGTGGCAGGCGCCTATAGTCCCAGCTACTGAGGAGGCTGAGGCAGGAGAATCACCTAAGCCCAAGAGCTGGAGGTTGCTGTGAGCTGTGATGCCATGGCATTCTACTGAGGGTGACAAAGTGAAACTCTGTCTCAAAAGAAAAAAATAATAAATAAAAATGCTGTCATTCCAAAATTTAATCAGTATTAAAAATTAGGGAGAAATTTTCCATTATTCTTTTTTTCATACTAACTCTTCAAAATCCAGTGTGTTATTTTACATTTAGTGTACATCTAACTTTGGACAAACTCTAGTGCAAGTACTCAACACCCATGTGTATCTGGTGGCTACTGCAGCAGCAGATGGAGAGCTCTAAGCAATGAATTTTGAGGGCAGAATATGGGCCTTGTTTCCACTACATTCCCAAGGCATGGCACACAGCACCCCCAGTTTTTCTCTGTAGCCCTGCCTGCTTCCTCCACACCGTTCCTGGGACTCTTACAGCCATCTTTGACTCAACAGTTGAAAACAGAAGTCTAGATTTTTCCCTCCGAAACCTGTTACCCTCCCAGTCTTCCTCATCTCAGGAAATGGTAGCACCATCCACCCAGCTAGATTCCTCTTTCCTAACTCCCCCTTCCAGTTCCTCGGCAACCCCAATGCTACCCCAAAGCTGACTTCTCATTACCCACTGCTTCCACTCTACTCCAAGCCACATCATCACTCACCTCACAATGAGGCAGGCCTCCTAACTGACCTGCCTGCTTCTCTTATCCCTTTAAAGGCAATTTTCTCCACAGAAATCACAAGTCCTTGTATTCTTATATGGTTGACATATAGAATGGCTTCCCACTATATCTACAATAAAATCCAAGCTCCCAAAAGACCCTCTCAGTGGCCTTTGCTAAGGCCTTCCTTCTGTTGCTCAAAGTTCATGTCCTGTGAGCCCCAGGGCATTTGCAATGGCATTCCTGAAGCTGTCCCCAGTCACCACACACCCAGCTCCTTCTCAATCACTCAGGTCTCAGCTCAATGACAGCTCTTCAAATAAGACTCATTTAACACACTAACACAGCAATCCATTTTAATCCTTCAGAAGCTTAACACCAGATGAGTTTATTTTATTCTTTTACTTCTTTCTCTAGCTCCTGCAGTAGAAAATAAGCCCATGAGTAGGCACCAACACTGCAAAATCTCCAGGGCCTAGAAGAGGTACCTGATACATTGCAGGTCCCCAAGAACCTTTATTTATTCTTGAATAAATGAATCAATTGGGTCAGGGTGCTTCACTTAGCCACACTGTAACAATAGTAACACTTATTACTGAGCAACATGAGTACATCGTTTTATTTCTTCTGCACAACACATGTTGATTTATTTTATCTCCACAACCACCTTATGAGGCAGGTGATGTGATTTTTGTCACTTCATAGAGAAGGAAAATGAAGGACAGCACCATTTGTCTGAGATCCCTAGTCTAAAGCGGGCAGGGCCCAGATGCGACCCAGGAGCTAAGCCCACTATTGCCCAGGGGCGGGGCGGGGTGCGGTGAAGGCGAAATCCTGACACGGATGCGCCGCCGCCGGCCGCCAGGTCACTAACCCGCTTCACTTCGCGCAGATCTGGACAGCCTGGAGTTGTCGTACTGTTCCAGGTGAAGGGATGAGCACTCCAGAGTTTTTGAGTCCTACCTAGTTCGACCACCTACCCGCCGTGTCCGGTCAGCAGGTGCCTGTCCCGCTCCCAGCCTCGCTTTCCCCAACTGCCCCTAGGGACGGTACCTGCACCGGCGTCATGCACCGGAAGCCCAGCTTCCGCAGCGCGCCCAGCACCCCCGGGTGTAGTGGCACAGGCAGAGACTCCCAGGAACCCTCCGTCACGTGCTCCATGGCTCGCTACTCCACCGTCTGCGAAACCACAGCTACCCTCCAGGGCACTGCCGGCGAGCACTTCCGCTTCCGGCAGCTTCAGCGACCGGCCGGAAACCGATAGGGAGCTGCAAAGTTCCGGAGGGCTGGGAAGGCAGCCGGGGCGCTGGAGGGAGGAAAGCAGACCGTGGCAGCGTGAAAGCTGGCGAGGGACCGGGCCTGAGTATTTCCACCCACCCTACGCAACCCCTCTGACTCCCGGCCGCTTTCTACACTAAGCAGGAATTTTGGCGGGAGAGATTCTGGCCCAGCTCTCCTACTTTTTCGGCCTGTCGGAGGCAGGTGGCAGTATAACACCGCGTCCAGGCCAAAGGACAGCTGAGCTCGCTGGAGTGGGCAGAGCCCAAGAGCCTCAGTTTAACAGACATGCAAAATAGGGCTGATGGTGGGAATCCAATGGCTGGTATATAATCAATGTTGGTTTACTTTCAGGAAGTATGGTCAGCGTCCCAAACAAAGACACCTTTTTCCCATTCCTGTGTTCACCACTGGCTTGGGGCATTCATTTGTCCACACATTCATCAGCACGCTTTTACTGACCACTCATTATGTGCTGGGCTCTGAGGACATACTCCCCTCCCCTAGATATGTCCCTCGCTTGCTCCCTTGGGACTTGGAAAATGATTCTGCAAAATGAAGGCCACGGAAGCAAAAGTTTCTCTCTTGTTTTCTGCGTTTCCTGCCCTCCCATATCACCCCCGCTCATTCTAAGGCTAGCCATAGAAATTAGAACCCTCTTACCCAAGGCAGATCACAGAAACCAGAACCCCTTATCTCCAAAACCGGCCATTAAAACCTAAAAATATTGCTAATTTTCCCCCTCAGTTTTCGTGTAAAAACTGGCCGTAAGAAATTACCTAACCTACCTGGTTATGATGTAGGTCATAAAATTCTCATTCCAGAAAGAGCCCTGGCCCATACCCTGAAGCTGCACTGACAGACCAAGATGAATCTGGACAGGCCTTGCTGGGTTTCCCCAGTCTGTTAGCATTAGATCATATCCTTTAATTGTATTTCTACACAGCTACCTGTGCATCATTGAACCTAAGCATAAAATTAATACTTCTCCCTGTTTGGGGGTATACATTCTGAAGGTTCCTGTGTCAGGTAAAACCATGACCAAATAAATCTGTGTGCCTTTTCTCCTATTAATCTGCCTTTTGTCAGTTGATTTTTCAGCAAACTTCATCAGAGGGCAAAGGGGAAGTTTTCCTTCACCCCTATCTATACTCCCTTACATGTGCCAGAACTTTTGAAATGTCACCTTCTCAGTAATGCCTCCTTCTCCTTAACACTAAAACTCCTGGCCTGCTTTATTTTCCTCCTTAGCACTTACCATTAACATACTATATAAAATGGTATATAATTTATGTATGTATTACGCTCATCTCCTTCACTAAAAGACAAAAACCATGATAATGTGTTCTCTTCTCTCTTTTCTTTATCCTAGTGACTACAACTGTAGCACACAATGGTCACTCAAATATAAATGAGAATCAGCTCAGAGCCCGTAGCACATTGGTTACGGTGCCAGCCACATACATTGAAGGTGGAGGGTTGAACCCAGCCCAGGCCAGTTAAACTGCAACAAAAAATAGCCGGATGTTGTGGTGGGCGTCTGTAGTCCCAGCCACTTGGAAGGCTGAGGCAAGAGAATTGCTTAAGCCCAAGAGTTTGAGGTTGCTACGAACAGCACTCTACTAAGGGTGGCATAGAGAGACTCTTATCTCAAAAAAAAGGAAAAAAAAATGAGAATCATCAGTACTCATGCAGACTCCCAAACTAAATTAAGAAAAAGATAAAAAGTCTGAAGCACCATTTTCACTGAAATAAACCATCACATCCTCAAAACACCTTTTACAACTTTTCTAAATGGGACAGATAGCTGAAAAGCAAAGGCAAAGGGAAATTGCATAGCTGTTGGCCTTTGGGTCTTTCCTACTTACTAGTCTTCTGTTCTTGGGACCCTTTCCAAGCCTGTTTCCTCAATTACAAAATTATTCTACCCAAGGTAATGGCAGTTTTGAGGCATAAATAACATGGTCTCTATGTCAGGACATTACACAATGTGAGTTAACAGTAGCTTCCTTTATTACTAGCATGCCCTTGATATATCAGACGAAGAGGAAAAATTTCTATAAGCAGAGAACTAGTCTCTGGTTTCACTTTTGCTCTCTATTTGGGGGCCTTGGGCAAATCATTTAATCTCTCTTAAACCTATTTCCTATATCCATAAACCAGGTAGCTGAAAGAAAATAATTCAAACTTTTATTTCCCAAGTAAAAAAACACATAAAGGTTTAACACCAACCCATCTGAGAAACCACACAGGAACACCTGTGTAGAAACTGAAATTTGGTTCCTGTTTACTACCTAAAAGTTTATGAAAATAAAAAGTCACAGGTTTAATACTCAGAAACATGGACATGTCTCATTTCAAATAATAGAAAGCTGCTATTTACAGAATGTGAATTAAACATCAATATATAAAACACAGAATACTGACTGTTTTTAAAAAGAACTGTTTATTTACTGAAACTGGGGCAGATTAGATATACAACCAATTTTAAATTTACATCTTTTAATTCAATTGTGAAGTGTATTGTCACACACACACACAAAAATTGGCATGCAACAGTTGTCTTAAGGTGAAACAGTCACCGTATTAATAAACTGTTGCAAGTATTTTTACCTTAAGGTTGAAAAATTGTTTTATCCTGAACATGAAAACCTGTAACAAATTTAAATTAATTATATAAAACTCGTTACTTGTAGTTTTCCCCTTGCAAAGATCCAAAAAAAATGTACAAGTAACTAATATATATCAGTCACAACATAATCCTGGATCATCCCCACACCAAAACCAGATGCTCCTTTAATTTTAAACCCATCATCAGAGACCAAGAGAAAGTCATTTCATTTTATACAAAACAAAATTCACATGTGCCAAAAAAGAAAGACCCAAAGAAACAAAAACAAAAACCCTAGTGCTGACACTGATGTTCAGTGCCCTGGTTAAATAGTGACCCAAAGGTCACTAATCAAAAATAAAATAGTGGCTGTATTTGCAGTGAAATCCAAGAGGCTTTAACCCTTTGGTATCAGAAATCCAGATTTTTCCAATTATGTGAATGCATACTTCCTACATGCCAAGAGTAGGGAAGGTGGACATGCCAGTGCAGAATGGATAATAGCTACCATTCACTGGAATACCCGGAGAATTGGCTTTAACAGAGACTTCTTAGAAGGTTAAGCAGAAACAAAAAAAAAATAATAATTATTATTAGCTGCTTGTGTCTTCGATTTAAGAGGGGGTGATTGAGTCCTAAGGTTCAATGTAAAAATTTATGGGAGAAAATATATATTGGGGCAAATCTTACCTTTAAAGGAAAAACAAGGTAACAAAGTATAAAAGTACCCAGCCTAGTATCACACTCCAGTCAGAGCTCTGCCATTACGATAGGCAGAAAACATTAAGATTCATACTGTTGTTTTTCATGACGCTACAAAATGAATCTTTGATGATTTGAACCACAGGATGAGGGACTTCAAAGAACGCAGTCATTTTAGTAAAGTACTATCAGGCTTTGTGCTGATTTCCTAAACAAACTGCATTTTATTATAAAAACAAAAGGAAAAGAAGACATAATAAAAGCCATATGCCTACATATCATTTTACAGTGTTTGAGTTCTGCAAGGACCTATATAATAAAGGCAGCATTCAATTAAGAAATTATGCCAATCAAGTGTCAAATTTTCACTATAACTTTCCTAAAAAGGTATGTTTTCCCCAATATCTATTAATCACAAAAAAACATAAGCTGTGAATGTACAGTTCAGAAAATAAAAACGTAGAAACTAATGACATTATTATGACCAAGGTGTTTGGTAAACAGTGAATTATGAGTTTGGGATCATCAGGAAAAGACTTTTTAAACAACCCTCCGGACTTCAAAAAATCTCTTCAGGTAGTAGATCTGTCCCAATGTCATGGCAACTAGAACAAGAGCTTCAAAGAAGGACCAAAGGACCACTCTGCTGTTTGTGTTGTCATTGACTGTTGAGGACAAACAAATAAACAAATTTTAACAACCCCCCCAAAAAAAGGCATAGGCATCATAAATTATCTTCTAGTCTTTATTCTGTGTGAAAGTAATATCTTGCACACCATTTATACTACAGATGCTTCTCAACTTCTGATGTGGTTACTTTGCTAAAAGCCCATCATAAGTTTGAAACTAAGTCAAAAACACATTTAATACCTCTAACCTACTGAACAACATAAGCTTAGGTTAGACCTACCTTACACATGCTCAGAATACTTACGTTAGCCTACACAGTTAGGCAAAAGCATCTAGCACAAAGACTATCTTATAATAAAGTGTTGACTACATAGTATCTCACATAATTTATTGAACACTATACTGCAGGTAGAAAGGAGAATAATTGTATGAGTAGCTAAATTACAGTTTCTACTGAATATCACTTTTGCAACATTATAAAGTCAAAAATTATTAGTACCATCATAAGTTACAGACCATCTATACTCTAAATTTTGTGTTTTGTCCCCAAGCAATCCAACATATCCAGAAATAAGACATTTTTAGATTTTAAAGGGACCTTAAAAATTAAATGAGTATAGCCAAACCCAGTCAGTTTATACATGGGGAACAGAGAAGGAAAGTGCTTAAGGTCACACTTCTAGAGTTAAAACCCAATCTAACCTTTTTCCCTCACCATTGTAATGTCTTACATTATGATCCTTTTGGCCAAATCAGAAAACTACTTTTAAAAAAAATTAAAGGAGGCTCAGCACCCATAGCTCAGTGGTTAGGGCGTCAGCCACAAGCACCAGGGCTGGCAGGTTTGAATTTAAAGGATTATTTCAACATCACAGTTATCCAAAAAGCAGTATTTACCAAGTTAAAATATATCTGTCTAAACATTTATCCAACAGGTATTTACTAAGCAACTACTATGTACTTGGCATTTGTTCTAAATGAAAGAGATTTCTTTTTTTTTTTTTTTGAGACAG